ACACACACACACACACACACACACACACACACACACACACACACACAAACAATGACAGAGATGCACACCATCCTGTCAAAGGAAAACTGCTGCCACAGAATCAGCAATACCTGGGAAGAGAAAACCGAAGGATGTGGCATTAATCCCTGAGGGGATAGTGGGGACAACAACACAGAGACGCCATACTAAAAGGAGATGACAAGAGGCAACGATCATACTTACCACAAAGGTTTCCACCGATCTTTATATAAACATAGCCCTCATTCCCCCACGTGGTTCCCCAAGAGTTCTGCACAATCCAGTATGGAATATCCCCTAAAATAGACAAGCGTGTTTTAAGATTAAATTATTTACAGGGTAGAGGAGCATTAAGCGCATGCGTGTGTACTGCAGCTGCAACCACTTTAGACTGTTACATAATCACCTATATATCCTTGTGTAATACCCACAAAACACAAGTGTGTGAGAAATAATTGATGTGAAGAAATATCAAATACAGAAGTGTGTGAACACTGTCAAGAAATACACTGAGCGGTAGCTGTGATGATGTTCTGAAAACTGCTGTTAAAATGGACATGTATTGTTAAATTCAACCTTTAAACATTTTTCACACTGGTTTTGTGTCCCGTGACACAAAGCTTTAACAGGTAACTGAATAAACTGAACCTCTATACTTAGAAATCGTGTGCACACAACAAGGACAAACAGTCCAAAGGTTGTTTTATTCATAAACCTACAGAAATATTCAACCAGTGTCACAATATAATGAAATCATTTCAATGCAGTTCTACTATTTAGGCAAGTCACTACAATAATGACAAGATGAACCTAAATTGTCACTGTAAATGTTCAACATATATTTCACTTGATTTAAAATATTGTAATTTTGGGGGTCAGTAATGAACTAAACATCGTGTTGAAATAGGTTTCGCTCCATCTCCTTTTGTTTTAGCAATTAATTAGGGAGGATTAGACAGTCTGCTCTTTTGCATTAGCAATTTGTGATCAGAATGGAACTATTTTTTATTTTTTTTAATCTAAAAATCTTGCATAGTGCAGATTTTAATTACTTTCACAGACCCCAGGGGTTGCAAAACTTTCTTGACCTAAAAAGGTAAATTTTAGCAGAAGTAAAATATAAAATCCCAGCTGTCATTCATGGATTATGATTCACTCTCATGACAGTGTAGTGATTGCATGTACCAACAGTGTTGTATCCAACAAGCAGGACGGCATGGTTAGACCATTGGCTGGAGCAGTGGTGCTGGATGATTCCACCCAGGTAATCCTGCCAGCTGACAGCATCCACGATAGCAGCCAAGGGACCACGCTCCACCAGATGACCAATCATTGCCTCCTCTTGGCCACTGAGGAGGAATAGCGAAACATTTTACTCTTGAGGCAGCAAGGCTGACCCTGTGATGTCTCTGGATTATCACGTGTTCTATTATGTTAAAGTCACAGGGTTGCAAAATCAAGATACACTCCCTCGAGCAACATGACTTTAGTTCAATGTTTTAATGTTTCAACCTTGTGTTCAGCGTGTCATCTCTCTCCATCCCTCTCATTCATAAAACTGGTATTTTCCTCATTCTCTCTGTTGACATATGCAGGCACTTTCTGAAAAATGTTACATTAGATTAGCAAATGTAACAATCTTGTTAATTCTGCTAACTAATTATTAAAACGTCATCAGCTCTTCACAGCAGACCCTGACCCTTGCTATCATAGCAGTGCAACAGAAATAGATGCATGAGTGAGAGTCACGATCCTGTTCAATATTAAATAAAGACGGTCTGATTGACTTTAACTCAAGGTAACCCAGTCATTGTGACCGGAGTAAAGAACCTCTGTGCTACTGAAGCAATCCGTGCCCGTGTTGACAAAGTAAACACTGTGGTCTGCTATTGCGCAGGACCAACTCACCTCACCTCCGGTCTGTCCTTGGTACTTAATGAAAAAAACACATTAAAATCCATGTGATGTTACCCAAATATAGCGCTATTCCGTTTTAGTTCAAGACAACTGGGGGGGAATGAGTCTTTTACCTGAAGTCATGTGCAGTGAAGTTCTTCACAGCGACACCGCCATGCGACTGAGAGAACAAATGGCAGATTCCCGTCTTGGCCTTGTAGGGATACTCTGACTGAGGCACCAATTTCACTCTGGTCTAGAAAGAAAATAGTTTGTCTCTGTCAGTGCGTTACCTGAATGCAAAATATCCATTCATCTTGTTTATGAAAGATCCTGGCACAGGCAGTTTTCTAATTTATGTCTGACAAGTGACAGCAATCTTATTTTGCCTCCTGCCTCTACATATCTCTCTAATTAAAATACATGACAATATTACCTGATTCCTAGCTAAAGCTAAATGTGCATATCTTCCCACAGGTCTCCTCTTTCATAAACAGGCGCGTTGGGAGGACACATAAGTATTCATTAAATCTCTTGTGTGTGTGTGTGTGAAGTACTGGGAGTTTATCCTATTTGTACTCACTGTAAACCATTTAGGAAGCTTCTGTTAAAGACCTGAAAACATGTATTAAAGGCCTGAAATTATGTAAAAAGATCAACATACTTGCTTTAACCATTTCAGGGCCTGGACCGTGGAGCCTCCACTGCAGCCTTTATTTCGAAAGGAGCAGTCCAGAACCTGCTGCACACTGAGCAGCTCCAGCTGCGAGCCTCCAATAGCATGGACGGACTGTGTGGCACCAACCACACTAAACGCCCAACAACTCCCACACTGCAAAGGTAAAATGACAGTAAGCAGGAAAAACAGAACTACATAGGAAAAGTAGAGGAACCAAACACTATAGAATACAAGACAATACAATCAGAAGAAAGAAATTGTCATTTTGCTTATCCCATCAACAGAGAGGCTAAAGACTTGGTTTATGTTGAATGATGTTTTCTGCAATCTCTGCTGTCGTAAACCAGTGTTGTAATGCATCTTTTAAAGACATCAACATCAGGCTAACACAATGGTAGCTAAAGCACTGACTAAACATGATTACAGTCGGAGCCACATCCAGAAGCCAGGAATCTACAGCGAGTGTGGATGCTGTTGATGTCGCTGAGGTGAGATGCTCTGGCCGGTCTGAGTGAAGTGTTTGTTTTCTGCTGCCATCTACTGACCTCAGGTCTGCTGCGCCTTGAGGGAAACGTTCATCTCTGAATCAGTTGATGTATTAAGCTTTAAAGTCGGACGATCATTTCAGATGTTTTTCGATTGCAAATGTTTGCTCTTACACAACATATATCATGTAGATGACAGTGTGTTCCTGGAACCAGTCGAACGTACAGTATTTTATTATGTAAGCTGTGGAACATTTGCACAGGCAATCTCATTCTCCAAACAGCATCAGACTCTGCACAGTCCACTTGCTCAGCATTCATTCCCACAAATGTGATGGAAACCTGAGCTCTCCTTGTAAAAATCCAATATGCTGTTGCTCAATATGGTTCCATGGCTTTACAATCAATACTGAAAACAAAATCAGGCATTATTGCTCGCACTGGAGATAAGTATGCGCTGAGTGTACAAAATATTAGGACCATCTGCTCTCTCCTTTAAAGTGACGAAATGCACTCGAGTCATAAAAGTGGAATCAAGATAAGGGAAAACTGAATCAAGAAGAGTTTACGAGATGTAAGTGGCTTGATATTTTGTGTCTTTGCGCATCGTACTGCATTTTACTTTCTGTTTATGCATCTACAATTTGTATCTGTTGTAGTAACTCAGCCCAGGCAGGTCTATAGACAGGACCAGAGGGGAAAAAAAGAAGCACTGCAGCAGATTGGTAGGCGAGTGCGGTTATGCTCAAGTTCTCCCTGGAGTGGTAAACCTTGCCTGAATTCAAGAAAAAAAAATATATATATATATATGTTGTGGTGCAGGATGTTTTTTGTATGGGCTGTGTGTCTCTCCCCCGGGACAACTGTTTCGCAGTGAAAATATCATCCCTAACGGCAAGTTGACCGACTAAAGAGATAAAGGACGAAAAAGGAGCCGAAAGTGAACCTTCAGCGAGGACGAGCTGCAGCTCCATCTCACTTCAAATCACACTTAATGGTCGAGTTTGTCCTTTGACCATTATTAAAGCACCCGTCCACTCAAATATGCGGCTCGCTTATTATTGCTCCACTTGGGTGTTTGACCTTCACTGTGCAGAATGATGCATGTCCTACAGTGACATAGGAATGCTGTTTTCAAATCGCTCTGCTGAGGAGGGAAAGTCTTTCTGGGCTCACCTTAAATCTGTGGGAGATGTGCACGTCCAATTATGATTTTGTGATATCATAACAGGTTTGGAAGCCAATCGTGTTGTGCGATGTGAAATATCGAAGCCTACAGTACACGTACATAGAGATTGGACTTTTCACATCTATCATCCATCTGTGTCAACCTTACTCCTTCCTGGTTCTGGACCGGTGCCACCACTGCTTTGTCCCTCCAGTCAAATTTGTCTGGGAAACCCTCTGTCTTCAGTCCAGAGAAGAGCGGAGCTCCGTCTGCGCTCACTCGCAGGTAGAGATCTGTGGATGACGGAAACAGTTCAAAGTCATCTCTGGTACAAAGATGCACGTAAACCATGACTGTGCAGATTCTGCCATGTCGCTCAGCACATTTAAAACAATCCACTGGACGGATACAAACTACTTTTCGCTTGATCACTCAGCCTACCTCTGAATTCCTGCTGTGAGAGGTCAGAGAAGCGGTTAACGCCATACTTGGCAGACTGTGGTACTGTGGAGAAAGCGTTCAGGTATGCGTGCCGCTTTGTAGCATCCTGCAATAACACACAGCAACTTGAGGCAAAATGAGTTGTTGAAGTATAAGTTCTTGCATAAAACAACACTGAAAAGTAGATGAAAAAGTGAAAGGTCTAGAGCTGATTTGTTTGTTTTTTACTTTTTCTTAATAACACAACATGAGTGAGTCTGAAATACATCCCACAAGAGATCCCACAGATTAAAATCTAATAAAATAAATCATTCCCCCAATTTAATCAGCTACGGTATTGACATACTGCTTTAATAATCATAATAATCTAATTATATAATACTTGTAAAATTAGTTTTCTATATTAGGCAGCTAGTACACTTAACTTAAACTAATGCAGTCTAATACAGCAAGGGACCACCTTTATAAATGAGGTTTGAAACCTCTCAGTATAACACACAATACAATGCAACAGCACCTCAAACTAACAGCCTTCAAAATCACCTTGAAATTGAATCAATACCTCTTTAAAACAGTTCCGACAACAACCACTGAACATTGTAACCTTCATGAGGAGAGGATTCATTTCATTACATACTGTAGTTTGACCTAGCTGTACCTAATAAACTGGCAACTGAGTCTAACGCACTCTGAAAGGGGGACATTTCAGTTCAAGATTTACTTTTAAAACTTTAACTTTTGCTGAACAGTAGCCACAAGTGTCAATTATTACACTGGCTAATGGTACAACCTTATATCACAGTAGCACCAAATATAGTTAAAGGACGCAAAATGCCAATGACCTCACTAAACAATCCCCACAAACACAGCTATCATGTCATCGTCTTATCTTTATAATATGTGACTTAGGTTACTGCCCCTTTCTTAACATAACCACTCTCACTTCAAGTACATTTTACTCTTGGTTCTTCTGTAAACCTGCACTTTTCAGGTTATTATCTTTCATGACTTTAACTTGTATTGGAGTATTACACTGAGTTAATTGAGGAGTTCTAATTCCATCGTCATTTATTCCACATTAACCTACAATAAAATTGAATTTTCTATGAAAATAAAAATGCATGTCTTCATTTGCATAAGTGGGCGACGTCTGTTGTGACGTGTGCAGGCCGTTTGTTTTCAGCCGTGTGTACAAAGTAACGAGCGACAACAGTTTCTCTGCACGTCTCTGTCTCGCGCTTAACGTTACCTGAAAGTGCAGACGACGACGGTTAAATTCCTCGCCGTTGACTGCATACGTGCGGTGGAACTGCTCTCTGAAGGAGTCGAAATCAACTGCAGAGCCATTAAACTGCGTCCGAGTCTCTTCCGAGAGCACATTGTGACAGCAGAGAGGAGAGACGACTGTGGAAACGGCCGCTATAAGTACTAGATACGGATGGCCGCCCCTCATTTGACAAAGCGATGTCGGTTAAACACATTCAGCGATTGAAATAGGAAGTTGATACAAAAGTCATATTGGCGGAAAAGGTGAGGTTTAATGTATAGCGCATGCGCAGCGTTTCGAGGCGCTTCCTGGAGAGGCCAGAAGCAATGGGAGGAAAAAAAGTGATCCTAAAAGTGATCCAAATAGTTTTCTCCTGTATTTATGATTGAAGAACAGGTAAAAAAAGAAGGTTCAAACATAAATAAATATGGAAAATAACCATATTAATTTAAATAACCAAAATCTAAATCTATCCAAAGTGCTTAAACTGTTGTGTTTAGACATCATTGAATGTGCAAAACGATCCTGTTCCCATAGCAAGTGTCCAAATGTCCCACTCATCTCATCTTTGATGACTGACAGGGCTTTGTTATGTACAGCTGTGCTGGAGAAGTCATCTAATGGCATCGTGCTGGAGATAAAACACAGCCATCGTAACCATAACATCACAGAATAAACAGGAGAAGACTAAAACACACAGACAAGACAAACTCCTGACAACTCAATAATCATAAGATTCAGTGTCCCCAACTAACTGCAAATCGTCTGGGTCGACTTAACTAGGGTTGTAGACATTATATGAACATTCATATACAGGAACAATACAACTTTTTTCATCACCTGTTTCACAGATTAAACTAAGGAACTTAGAAAGATTATCCTGGCAAAACCTTTTTTTCCACCTGTTCTTAAGTCATAAGAATATTAATTTAAACTTAATTAAAAGATAAAATGTGCTTTATACGAGATACATGCTATCATGAGTTAAAATGTATGGAAAATATTTTTTCTAATATATATTTTCCCTAATTTATCCTAAATGAAATACTACCATTATTTTAAATTAATGCAAATATTCATTCAAAAAAATTATCTAATTTATCCATAATTAAATATGAGTTAAAATGAATGCAATTAATGTCATATTCGCAACTGGAACGGTTACCTCTGTGAAAATCTACACCTACACACACACACACACACAAACACACACACATTGAACATTAGCATTGGAGTATTTGCTCTCAGGCACAGTAGCAGCTGCAGGGCATTCTTTTCCAGCCTGGACCAGCCAACCGGTCAGTACACTGGGAGAAAAAGCAGACTACTCTTGTGCTTTTTGGAGCGGCATCTGATCTTCACCATAACTAAAGCCCCTCTGTAACGTGTCGAAGGAAATGTCAGACCCAACAGAGGAACTCTCCAACAAGACCTTCGTGGCCCGGTTGTCCAATGTTTACCTCAGCATCTTGGCACTGTTCTGCTTTAAGCTCTTTGTTAAGATCTCTCTCAACTTGCTGACATACCTCTACATTGTCCGCGGGAACCGCAAAGAGGCTGCCAGGATATCAGCAGAGTTCTATGATTATGGTCAAAAACACAGTAAGTACTCTCCGAAAAAACCTGAAAGGGTTTGTTGTTGTTTTCAAGGTGGTTTATTTGTTTCACAAACTGCATATAGATTTGTGTGCTAAAGGCACATTTGGTGTAAAATGTAACAACAATACAATTGTGTACACTACACACCAAGCAACATGTTCGACCTGAGGCGTATAAGGTCAGAATAGATTAATATTGCTTTAAAATCAACTTGTAGTACTCCCCGCTCACACACAACTGCACACTCTCAATTTCCGTGTTTACAAATGAGCTATAATCGCATTGCTGATCCAAATAGTATAAGAGCCATTCATTGTATTCACATTAAAGCAAACTGTGGATATGAATGACTTTTATTTCATCAGCTTAATGACTACTTATGAATCCTGAACTGTACATTCAATATTAAAACAAAGACACTGTCGGCTGGCAGCTCTTTTTCTCTAATGTATTAATAGAACACAGTCATGATACCCCGCTCCTCACGCCCCCACCCCCATCCTGCCCTAGTTTCCGTTCCCAGCTATGCAGTGCAGCCTTTCACACTCAGACAGCAACCAAAACAACACTCCACACTCTCAGTTCGGAGGCACATTCTGGGGGAAGAGGGACACGACGACAACATAATCTATATCTATCATTCAAGGGGATGTTTAATTTAAAGTGGATCTGCTCCATGGAATACTAATCAGCTAAGCTTAGTGTATTAGTCACAGTCCTGTAGATACGGTCTTCCTTGCTCTAAGAAATCTCTTTGATGTCCGTGGCTGGTTCTTTTATATCCGTATTTCAAATGAATGTCAGTCAAGGAAAATAGGTTGCATGAATAAAATAGCTTAAGATTTATAGAAAAGATTAGATCTGGTATTTTCTAAATTATGATTAAAATGGAGAGAGATGACAATGATGATGATAATGATGTGGAATGCATTGGCTGTTATCCTGGACATTGACTCAGGTGTGCTTTATCAGACGTCCACAGCAAATTCCTCAAGGTTATATAAGGTGTTATGTGAATGGAGTGTTAATATGCTGAGATATACTGGACTTCAAGCATCATTAGTCACATGATAATAAGATGGCCCATTCATTAACTCTTGGAACACGGTAAAACATGACATTGATAAACATATCAAGATGATGGATATATATTATATATATATATATATTTGTGGTTTGGATTTCATTAAGCAGCCATGATTGGCTAAACAATAAAGGAATTATGATATAAGACATGATGAATTAACAAGACTTGAGAAAACAAAAATCTAAGTCCATAAAATAATTTCATAAAGACATAAAATCACAATTATTTTCATGGTACACACATGATGCTTAGTTATATTCATATAACATCAAGAGACTATTTTACTTTACTTATTCTTACTGCAGGATCCTGGGCGGACCGCTCACCCCTCCACGATGCAGCGAGTCAGGGCCGCCTCCTGGCCTTGAAGACCCTTATTTTACAGGTAAAGAGAACACAAGCACAATGGAGGACGTTTGCCTTCAGGGCGTTCCGATCTGAACCCAAGTCATGATATTTTATGTGCATCCTCTCATCTGTACACATGGGGTCTGATGTAACTGTTCCTTGTGCAATTAAATTTGTATCAGTGCCTTTGTAGACTCCTGGATTAGATGTTAAAGAAAAAGATTTGAATGCAAGTATGTAGGTAGGTTTATCTGGGAATCTGTCTGATTCCACCTCTATTACCTCTCAAGACTAAATGTTGTCATTTGTCATGTTGTGTGAGCTTACAATACCATAACTTGACATCTTAGTATAACAACACTAATATAGTTTTTTTAAGTAAATACACACAGCACAGAATAACCATAATATATAGTATTACATAACCATAATATACAGTATCCGAGGGCGTCGACAAAGTTGCTGATCAATGCCAAATACTGATAAATGGCAGACTGGGAGAATTTCCTCTTTCACTTGCATTTTCAGCTGCTCACAGATTAAGCAGTGCACTACAGGAGCGAAAGACATGTCAGCCACAAAGCCAACAATGCCTTGTTCTTAACACAGACAAGCTCATGACAAAGCTGTGATCGCGTTACAGTATTTTTGCATAGTGATTTATTAGCTCTTAACCAGACTTCTATTGGGTCTGCGCTTTGATTAGCAAGCTTATGAATCGCTATTGTTCAGATGTAACTGTACACACTGTAGTGTAGTTTGTCAATTACTGACAACTGAGGAATGGGTTTGGTTTAGGAAAGAAGATAAGCTATTGTTCTTGCAATTACTGGTGTTCACCAATAGAGGCTGACAAAGGTCATGTGTTAATGCACCATATGACGTCTTAATATCTGTGGCTGTTTGATTCGGTTTCCAGGGTCACAGTGTGAATGTTCTGACTATAGACCATGTGACACCCCTTCACGAGGCCTGTGTCGGAGACCATGTCGCTTGTGCCAGAGCTCTGATTGATGCTGGAGCAAATGTAAGTCACGTATTGTCCTTTTGACGTTGCCACGCAGCACAGGTCAAATGTCATTTCCATGGCCGGGAGAATCTGGGTAGAAGTAACAGATGAGCAACGCTGTTCTTCTTCTACAGTCACTGCAGAGCTATTAAGTTCTTGCTCCCCTTCAACTGTTCCCCCAGGCTGTTGCTATTAGTCAACTTGCATGGTTAAACAAGGCCTAAAAATAACAATTTAAGAGAATGCTTTTGCAGGTCAATGCTTCTACAATTGATGGAGTCACCCCTCTGTTCAACGCCTGTACATTGGGCAGTGTGGTATGCACTGAAATTCTTTTGGAAAATGGAGCAAAACCCCAGAACCTTGCATACCATCCATCACCAATCCATGAAGCTACGAGCAAAGGTACATTGTGACTAAATAATTAACATTATGACAGAATGCATCCCCTAATATATTAGGTAGTTTTCTATTGACAGACACTACATGTCTGTTTTTAATATATAAAATATATAACTCCAACTCTACTAATTACAACGTATACTCCACATCCTTCAACCTGTATTTGTGCCCTTTGCTGTGCTATTAAACCTGCACTGTGAAAAACAGCTTGATAAATAAATCTCAACACGACCCGAGCAGACAGCTTGGAGAGTTATCTCGCATTGTCACTAACTGATTACTGTCTCCATGCTCCATTACTTCCAGGTCATTACGGTTGTGTGGAGGCTCTGGTGACTTGGGGGGCAGATGTGGACATGGACATTCCTCACCTGGGCACAGCGCTCTACACAGCCTGCGTCTGCCAAGAGCTGGAGTGTGCCAGGAAACTTTTGAGGGAAGGTCAGCTCGCAGCACAGTGTGGATCTCTGCATCTCCATACAGACAGGCACACTTCCTGTATGAACGAACAAACACAGATGCACGAGCACATTTGTTGTTCATAGAAATGGAAAATAAGTTCATAAACACATATACGCACAGTGGATTTTAAAAGCCTTTAAAAAAAAAAAAAAAAAGCATTTAGACCCTACACACAAACAAACTCTTCATTCAAACAAAGAGTTATATCATTATTTAGGGTGAGCAGTTCTTTAAAAAAAAAATGTGTTTGGCCTTATGTTGATTTACTTTCATTATTCATGATGAAGTACCTAATTGCAGCTGACAGGCATTTCCCGCACAGCAGCAACAAAACAGCTTTATTATTTGTCAGTTATGTGAATCATCAAGGCAGTGGTAAATTCCAGCGAGAGTTGTTGGTCTGTCAGCTTTTCTTCAAAGTGCTAAACATTTCTTTCTCGAGAGCATATAAGGACAATTCAATCAGAGTAAGAAAGAAATATGTATATATTTATTTTTTATTTGTATTTTTTTCTGGAGGAAACTGGTCTTGTTATTAGCATGACTTCATGGATTGACTGACTGTATAGTTAACAGTATAAACACTATCTTTCTCTCTCTCTCTCTCTCTCTCTCTCTCTCTATATATATATATATATATATATATATCATTTTTTTCTGAAACCGGCCTCACCAATAAGACATACTACGTGTTTCAATTTGAGTAAGGAGCAGCACAGCAGTTCCATGTAGCCCATAGCTGACGGATCACATATTAAAGCATTTTGTATGCCCATGCTGCTGGCTACCTTTGATTGAAAGTAACAAGTTCACATTCATTCTCTCAGGGCGGTTGAAAGTAATTTCTGGGAATATAAGAAAGTGTTATGTAGAGGGCAACATGGGAAGGCAGTTACATTGAAATATTGAATAAGAATATATAGTAACAGAGTAACTGCTGGATTTCAATGATATCCAACAGACGACATTGAAGCTTTTCCATCTGAACTTTGTCTCGAATGGATAATCAAGTTGTCCTCCATGCAGGTGCAAGTGTACAGAAAGGCAAATACCTGGATTCACCCTTACATGCAGCTGCAGAAAAAGACTGCACAGCTGTAGTGAAGCTGCTGCTGGACTTTGGTGCAGACATTAATGCCAGGAACACAGAGTTTCAGAGGCCAGTAGACGTGGCTCCACCCAGCAGTCTAACAGAGGGTTTCCTACTGATATATGAAGGTACAAGAACACTTGTTACTTGTTTTTGTAAGGCACTACAGACCTATGTTTCCATGTATTTATTGTTGTATTTATTTCTGTGTTTGAACCACTTCATCAACAGATATAAAGTAATATTACTCTCCTTTTATCTGTAGTCTATACATTAGGACCAGCTCATATAATCTTTCATTGCCTCTTAGTTACACCACGACGGCTGAGCCAGCTGTGCCGTCAGTGCATCAGGAGTTGCGTCGGCCGTGACAGACTCCACCTTCTCTCCCACCTTCGCCTGCCCAACAGGCTAAGGAACTACCTGCAGTACCAATGAGAGACAGAACAACCAAACTGCCCGCCTAAATGGGACTTACAGAAATAAGCCTTTGTCACCAAGAGCTAATCAACTCCTTGAAGTCTTCCTTCCTTCAATTGTGGCTACCAGTCAATTAAGTGACTCAGTAGCTGCTGAGTATCTGTCAGTACCAAGCTGTGTTGAGCTGGCCTGCATCCCATTACTATTGTGAACCTGGATGAATGTTCACGGCTTAGCCTTCCCTGGATAAATTGTCATTGAAAAATATAATAAATACAATATTATTTGCAATTCAGGTTTGTGTAGTTAGAAGCCTTAATAGTTGCAATATACCAAAGAGTGATGCACTTTCAAAGCTTTGAGATTATAATGTCATATAAATGCAGTATAATATACAGTATGTGGACGTGTACTCATAGTTTTGCATTTGATATATAATGTATTGCGCACGACTATATGATTAAAATTGTTTTGAATCCTGGTGCATTCCAAAATATGTTGTATGCAGACTGTGTGCACTTATGTTGGGCTTAGAGGTGCAGTTCGTGTATTATTAATACAAACATTTTTTTTTAAACAAAGTAGTTGACATGTTTAAGCTTGGATGACAGAGCACTGACAACTGGAGGCAGCTGACTTCATTGTTAAATCCCTAATGGAAAATATGAGGGAGTGGAACAGCAACAGAGAGCGGAGCAGGAAGAGCTGTTTGCATCAATAGCTAATGACTGAAATAAAGCTCAGAGAACATTATGAACAAAACCATATGAATTAAGTAGCAATACGAAATCACATTTCATCATATTGAGCTGAATTTCAAATCTTGTCTTGCATTTTTTTCACAATGCCTGGGTATTATTACATGACTGATACCACTGTGCATTTCATAACGTCTTATTTTTCAACTTAAATATACTGTTCAAAATGATTTATTGGAATTTCTCCGCAGAGTTCGTTGTTAATGCAACATCATCTGAGGGGCAGCGAACCGTCACCGCTGTCTGTGTGCAGACACGACACACCTCTCTGACCCACGTGTCAGAGAGGTGTGTCGTGTCGCTGCCATGGTAATGTAAACAAAGAAAGTCCAGCGCGTCACATACATACAGGCTGCAGCGGCACCTCGAAGAGGAAACTGGTCGAGTTATTAGCATGATTTCATGGACTGACTGACTGTAGAGTTAACAGTATAAACACCATCTTTCTAGACATCATCAGGCTCAGAGCAGCATGTCTTTTGCGCAGTCTCCCAAAAAGACGGGACTGCCGAGAGAAGTCGTGAAATGGCTGCAAAGCCTGGACTTGTCATTTTATCCGAAGAATGTGCGCAGGTAAAGAATGAAACTAACCTCATCTAGCTTTACGATATTACGCTATATTATAAAATTGCCAGTGAGCAAAAAAAAAAAAAAAAAAGATTTGCAGGTCAATGTCCAAACTTTAAAAACGGTATAAATGTAGTTGTAACGTCAGTTTTTACAGTTCTTAACGTCATAGGTTAGCTATACTTGACTATTTAACCTAGTTACAAATATGTGAAGCAAACGTTCCCATATCAATGCAGTCAATATCAATATCAATCAAAAACCATGGACTGTAACAGCTGTATAGGTTAAAACAAAGCAAGGATTACAAAACATATCGGAAGGAAAAAGATCAGTGCCAAGACCGCAAAGTGTTCAAATAGGAGTTCATTCGTTCTCCCTGCTTTTTATTTCCAGAGATTTGTCCAATGGTTACCTTGTGGCAGAGATATTGTCTCGTTATTACCCCCAAGACTTTCTGGTGCATTCGTGTGACAAAGGAACATCACTCTCTGCCAAACAGAGGAACTGGAGCCAGATAGAGAAGGTAAGAGGAGGAGAAAACCTCAAAATAATAATGAGCTGGGTAGAAATGTCTTTCTTTACTTTGGTTGGCATGTGGTTTAGATGTGGTTTAATTTCCCATACCGACTTGGCATTCAAAATGACTCAACTTTTAAGCGTCCAACACACATTTTGTGATGTAGCTCAACCTACCAGCACACAACACAACTCTTTAAACATCAAATCACATTCAATCTACACTGAAGACATTATGTTTTCTTTACCTGCATGTACTTGAGGGTTCTGAAACAGGAAATTCTTATTTAGAGTCAGATGATGACCAACATGTTTTTTTTATTGACCCAGTCTTTACAGAAGCAGAATCTGCACTTGATGAAAGAGATAATTGATGGAAGCATTCACTGTAAACCAGGAGCAGCTGAACTGTTGGTGCAGGAGGTTTACACTAATTTAACTAACCGGAGGTGAGTGTCGATTGGGAGCGGGGTTTGAAAATGAACACAGTTTGAGGCCAATCCTTTCTTGCTTTCTCCAGACAGATAGGAGGTTTATATCACACCGTGGAGTTTAGAAAAACTAACTGTTCCATTTTGTTTTGCATACTTTTTACAGTTTAGTTAGATATTGGTATACATTTGTCTGTGTGTTGGTGTTATTAGCTCAAAAGTTTCCCAGTGTTGCACTTATTCTTGAGACATTACTGTGAATTAAACATTGCTGAATTGTTTAGCTTATGTACCCCTCAGGAATGTGTTTAACATAACTACACATAAACCTATACAATAATATGTGTAATCATCAGGCAACACTGACATTTCTTTTACAACTTATACATATTACTGCTTGTTTAATCTGAAAACAAAAGGATGCCGATACTGTACAGTGGCTTTTGCTGGATCATGAGGATATTTTCATAACAATATGTGGGCAATGAAAAAAAAACATCCACTAAACCGCTTCTAGTGCACTTGAATCCAACTAAACACAGCTGAAGAGGATGCTCAGTTGGCATGCAGCACATTTGCTCAGTGTATAAATTATATTCCCAAAACACAAATATAATAACAGAATCCTGGAGGTATTCCAATACTAATCTTTTTAAACTCCTTCTCAGCATCAGAGATGTTCAGGGCCCAGAGTCAGACTTCACTGACCAAGAGTACCAGGAGCTTCTACCCACACTGGCCCGCTCCACAGCCTCCAAGGCCATCAAGAACAACCTGAGGATAACAGAGATCATGGCGGAGCCCGACATCAGCACAAGCCAGAGGAAGGCAGAAGTCATCCTCCACAGGCACCTGGAGCACCAGGCAGCAGATAGGGTCCTCAACCCTGGTCAGTCACCCAGGTGTGCTTCCAGGCTTATTGTAGGGGCAAATATTCTATTATTAAAAATGTCTTTGCTTTGTTGACAGGACGTTTTAAAGTGAAGCCTAATCTGTGTCGGCTGGCAGCCAAAAATCCCGTGCCAACCAGCCGCGGTGATGAGTGCTTGGCTTCGTCTGGAGACTCTACATCCAGTAAGTGTTGAGTCATATATTCTCTTGCAGCAATAATCAGCAGAGAATATTCATCCTGCAAATGTGCTCAAATGCATCCTTTGGGTGTAACACTTATATATGCTTTGGTGGCAAATTGTGACTGATGTTTTTGTTTTGAGACTGCCTAACCAATCTATTTTCCAATTTCTTCTGTTTTAGAGTTCTGCTCCTCTTCAACATGGAGCGGAGCGGCTGTTCCCTTTAAGGAGATAAAGGTGCACCAGCCTGTCAGACGCTCCCTGGTTAACTATTAAATAAAATGTATGGAGATTTGTGCGCTATAATTGTGTTGTGTGTGTGTGTGTGTGCGTGTGTCACTTGATGTAGTGATAGGTTTTTCACAATTATTCAAATAATAGCCCATTGAACTGTAATGCATCGAAAGTATTTTTCTGGAGTATCATTTGTTTTGAAAGACGGAAGACGTCACTGTTTGTTATGGATTATGTAATGTATTAGTGCTTCTGCCATCATGTTTGGGCGATGTCTGTTTGTACCAGTAGATGGCAGCATTGAGTCACGAGCAGAGCTCTCCTCAATGGTTCAGACTGAAATCCACTGCTGTAGGTGTACCATTGACAAAAAGAGGATATACATCAGTGTATGCTGCAGAAATTGACTGGCCTTACTGTTCATATATTTGTGTTGCTCACTATAAGGCTATTCCTGAGTTCCTTCACCCATGACCGCACATGCATCTTGCCTTCGTTACCGTCACTGAGGCATCAGATCGTCTTCTCAATCTGCATTCTAAGAAATTCTGATCAGCCACCTTCCAAATGTTGGTTAAACTATGCTATACGATGTACAGTTTTCCACCTGACTGGCAAGGGAAACCATATACATACATTCCACTGTGGTAGGAACCACTTCATGTAAGTGATAACTGATTCCTAAAATTGGCTTAGAGTTGGGAACATTGAGTCACTGTGCCATGAAACCATGACAGCTTTGTTTCTGTCTTGTTCGTCATTAACAGTTCCAGATTTCCTTGCACTTTCAGTCATTGTGAGCCAGTTACAGGAGAGTAATTCTACTCGTGGTTTGGTCTACAAATGGGGATAAACAAACACAAATCAGATGTATTTAATTTACTATGAAACAACTGGAGAATTTTTTTATTCCCGATTTCTGGTCCTTACTCGGCTGGTACTGGTCAACCGGCATTAACAGATTTGTCTAATGGTGTAGTGTTAAACTCTGTCACTAATTTGCTTCATTGTTACTGCAGTTGCCACATTAAACACTGTGAACATATCAGTAATTCATTATGTATAAACCAACTGGACAATGTACAGTTATTACCCGATTGGCGAGGGAAACCATTTGATCTAACCTGCATAGTATAGAACTGAATAGTGCTATGGACTTTATTGAATTGTCCTTTTACTGTATAGTTTCAAACCAATATTAAGCCACACTGAATTTTTGAGTATGCATCCATGGTAGTCCTGCAAAACAAATGATGTCATCGTCTGCATTGTGTGCGTATTTCCGCATACTTAGTGGAGAACATTTAGTGGTTTTGGTGCCAAAGCCACTCAGATTCACTTTGAGATTGAGATCACTCAGTTGGCCCCAAATCTCCAAGCCCTCGTGGATGGATGCTCAGCGTACAGCACAATTGAGCTGTGAAGCTAGTGAAAAACGGATGACAGGATGATAAGTGTTTCTGGCTGACTGCCTGGCTTCTCATGTGGTCTAAGAGCCTGGGCTTTCAATAGAGAGATGGGGCAGTGCTGTAACAATATGATCTCCACAGCCTCAACAGACTATTAGCTATAGATGACCATGAGATTTATTGTATTAGACACCAGAATTCCAGACTCTTAAAACTGTTGTTCATCATTTGGGTCAATTGCAAAACCAAACAATTACAACAGCTGATGCTAATCGGTAAAGAAAATGTTGTAACACGGCACATTTTCAAAAAATCTATTTATCAACTATTTAAGGAGAGTAGGAGTGGTCATCTGACATTTGAACACCAGCCTCTAATACATCTCATGGTCTCTTTGAAAGCAGGCCATCCTTTTTCCACGGTAGTCAATGGCTGGTAAAGCCTCTTTCCCTGCCTCCCTGAGTGGAGCTGTAAAACCTGACCTCCTTAATCTTTCAGTGTCTTTTGATTTCCCTCAGCTTGACTGGGCGTGAACACACATCGGCACTTAAGACGAAGAGCGCTGTCGCCTGTTGATTTCTGCAAGCGCTGGGAGATGAGCATCGGAATTTGGGTTTTCAGTGTTGAGGCACGCATTTAGCTGCATTGGTTTGTACTGAAAGTCCAGCGAGATACAACTGTAATCGGCAGCAAGTGATACGATGGAAATGCAAAATAAGTATCCTGCAGAATAGAGTCTGGATACATGCTTTTTATAATGCAATAAATTACTGTTAACATTAAGAATGAGATTAGCTGCTTTACATAATAAGCACCGGCCAGGGTTACAGGGTGATGCTTATATTTATTCGACATTGACACACCTCTCCTATACTGAACAATATCTAGGTCCTGGTTGCTATGGCAACTAGCAAGCCCCATACTGGAGAGCGACCAGGAGACATTAATAAGCTTACTGTGAGCTTCTTTGGCTCGTCCTGTCGGTCATGAGTACACGGGCAACGGGGGCTGTAGGATTTCAAGCAGCACACGCATGCATACAAAAAAAATATGCAAGCACATTCGGTCAAGATGAAAAAACAACAACACTAAAATGATAACGTGTGACGAAAAAAAAGAGATGACGGGCAACTGACGTTAGCAAAACGAGGATGCCTAAAATGCCCCAAGAAAGTGTCTCACCATCTGCCGATTTTTCCTATGGGCATCATGGTGCCCACAGTGTGAAGGAAGCTCTAGCGGCGAAGGCGAGGGGATGCAGCAGGGGGAGGGTCAGTGCCTTGTTGGAAACACAGAGGGGGGGGGGGGGGCATTGTGAGTGTTTGTAAGCTAAGGATTCCCCTAGAAAGAAAGGCCCTCCCCCATTCCCCCACAGCAAATATCCCACCCCTATTAACAAAAGCCACGGTAAGCTAGTATGTGGTCATGTTATCCAGGCCAAGGGTGGGGCACTTTGTGTGTCTGAAATGTGCATATATATATATATATATATATATATATATTTTTTTTTTTTTTTTTTTTTTTTTCAGCAGCCACTAATGAACTGCTTTTATTCATGCATATATTTTCAATTTAGTTATAATGCATTACTCACCAACAAGCTGCTGGCCCCTGGAGACTAAAGCTAATTAAGAGCAAATTAGTTGTTGTTTTTTACGTGCCACATGAAAACAATACAACTTAAAGAAATTATAAAGCATTATTCATTAGATTGGAACTAAATTCACTTCCTTCGCTGACGGACTTCATTTGATTCCTGCTATTTACACATTTTAAATTATAATATGTATCACACATATTTAAATAGCAACAATCAAAATGAAAGACTTAGTATTTACAGTGCACCAAGAGAACACAGCAGACTTGTAATTAAGTTTCTAAATATTGAAATTGATAACTGCCATAGGGAAAACAATGAGCAACTGATCCAGTAAGCCCAACACATTTCAGCAATCTAGGTTACTAAACAGATGAGTATCGGAACTTAAATACTCTGTACGGCGAAAGCAAGATAGCACAATAACCTTTGAATGCTAGAAAACTGCCTCACTCTCCCTCTCCTAGTATTAGACTCACAATAGAAAGGGCAATGACAACAGGAAGGTACGTTAAAGTAAAAATGTAAGACAAAGGCAAAATATCTTTTGGGTCAAAAGCCAGAGCAGAAAATGTCTTTCTGCCAAACATTTACTCTTTTCCTTTACTCATAACAACACAGTGTATTTTGTGAAGTGACCTAGTTAGTAACATCTCAACAATACCTTGTAGTACAATGCCCAACTAAAAGCAGAATACAATTCATATAAAGATATTCATATGATATTAACATTACACTTCTGACACTGCATTCATAACAAGAAAATGTTATTTAAAGGAGCTAAATTCAATATTAAGAGGATAAATATAGCCGCAAAAAACTATTTGCTATGTAAGGATATAATGTCTACCTGGGCAGAGAATGGAGTCACTCTCCCTCTGTGTTTGTTTTAATCTGGGATTCTCCGTTCTTTGTTTACATAGTGAGGCTGGCTGCGCTGGCTTTTAGGCTGGCTCATGGCTAGCTCAACTCTGCACTGCTCTCATACGGCGGTTGCAACTGATAATGCCGCCCGACCATGAGTGTTAGGGTAGCACCCACCCTCCAGTCCCCCCTCAGGTAAACAACACCTTTTGCTCTGTCAGCCCTGTGGTTGCTGTTTGAACTGTTAGCACCGTTAGCTAGCGAGCCGCCTGCTCTGCCGCCGCCATGTTGAGAGCCGTTGAGAGGCCATAGATATTCTACCAATCTCATATTTAGCACCTTTAAAACTGTTTTTATCTTTTTACTTGTGTTTATAGTGAATTGAGAACTTGTAGAACACTACAAACCACAGGATAGGACCATACAAACCATACAAACCATATAAACGCGTCTGCATTAACATAGACATTGCAATCCCTCGAGCCATGCTGTCAGCAGGGCTAATAAAAAGCTATGTTGCTAAATCAAATAAAAGAAGGGAAGGTACTTAGTGGACACAGGAGGTTAGACCATTTGGTTGGACAATATGCTACTACGGGAGGCCAATTAAATTATTAATTAAATATGTTGCATTAAGTAATCAAACATTTATAAAGCATTACATTTTAACATCAATAAGTCATTACATTAATGTTGAAGCATTAGCATAATTACCATAAACAAATAATCAAGATGATGGTGTGTTTCCTCTAGAAGGCCTAATTAAGCTGTTAGAGTTCCTTTAATCAGGGCAGACATACTATAGGCTACCACGGCTGAGTAAAGATAACTTTCAATATGTTCCTGCACACACTAAAGCTATAAATTACCACCATCCATTACGTTATTTGACAATTAGGGTCTGGTAGGTGAAACCATCACTCTAAAAGTAATTCACCTGTTTAAAATTGGTCTTTCCGTGCACCAGACTATCCCTGTATTATTTACAAACTATTTAAGCCAATGTGGCTACTTATATCATTCTCTTCTTGACTGCTTTCCAGTAGCTCAATTTCCCCACAGGGATCATTAAAATTTCATCTAATCCACCTGTCTGATCATCCATCCATACACCCATCTGTCCGTACTTCAAGTCAGGTCAGATGCTATTTATCCAGCACAGTTCATCCCACAGACGCTTAATGTACCTCAATGATCTTTCAATTATTCCTCTGGGCCTCCCATTCCTCTCTCCACCCCTCGATTCATCACTATATGTGTCATGTTGTTTGGCTTAGGCCTTGGTCTTTATCAGTATTGTGTGAGATCACCAAACCCAATTCCTATTGACGTTGAAGTGGAAATGAAGTTTACAATCTTGAGTTAATAGGTTTGTGTCTATTTACTTAAATGATTACTTATGCATTTGTTGCCACACTGCTTCATACTCAAGACGTTTGCACAACCTTCTCAGATACATGCCATTGTTTTCAACATGGAAGTCTTCTTGTTCAGTGTAGAAACATCGTCATACATTTGACCGATGACCAAATGCATA